TTATCGAGTCAAGTGCGCGATAGGCAGTTTTCCCTGGGTGGCGACAATAAAAATATCGTAGGGCGCGAAATCTATGGGAAATGTTATTCAAGAGCATCTATCGTTATCTCGGCGTTGTCGGAATCATCGGGCTGTTCCGATGATTTGAAACGCGAGACCGAAACGCCGTCGCGTTGCGTAACCGTGTCACCTCGACTCCAAGAGAGAAAAGAACCTGAGCACAAAAGTGAAGCGACGATGAAAAAAAATGAAAGAAGAAGAAGAAGAAGTAGGGGAATAAGAGCAGAGTACTCTAGTTTGGAGTGACGCAAATAGACTAGGAGTTGCACGCACGTTATTCATTTAATTTGAGCGAGTGAGAAGGCGCACCCCTGTCGTGCGCGCGGCTTGGTGCGGCGGACAAAAAATAATTAGATAAGCCTTGCTGGCTGCACCTACAGCTTGACGTCTAACTCTCTTTCTGGCGCACCCCGCTAGCTTTCAAGCTCTTACGCTATACCTTTGCAATCGTTGCTCTCTCTGTCGGTTGCTCGAGTTCTAGTAAGAGAGAGAGAGAGAGAGAGAGAGAGAGCGAGAGAGAGAGAGAGAGAGAGAGAGAGAGAGAGAGAGAGAGAGAGAGTACCGAAAGCAGTAGCAGCAGCCTGGTAGTAGTCCGCCCACCCCCGCGGCCTCGGGTGGGATGATTCAGGCGCCAGTAGGGCGCACCCACCTTCCGAGCTTGCCGCCGCTGCTGCTGCTGCTGCTGCTACTGCTGCTAGTGCTGCGAGTGCTATTGCTGCTGTGGGTGGGTGGGTGGGTGGGTGGACGGGTGGAATTGGGGGAAACAGAGTGTGTCGGCCGGGCTGGTTCTCTGCGGGGGCGGCCGCCGCCACCGCTGCCGTCGCCGTCACCACCGACGCACATATAGCCGAGCGAGACTAGAGCAAACGGGAGAGCGGAAAGGGGGATAATACGCTCTCGCACCGAGGGTGCTTTCTACTCTGAGATATAGCCTCGGCACTACTACTGCCAGCTATATCCTCTCTCTCTCTCTCTCTCTCTCTCTCGCTCTCTTTCGCTCTCCAGCCAGCCAGCTAGCTGCCTGCCTGCCTGCCTGCCTGCCTGCTTGCCTGCCTGCTTGCCTGCCGCTCTAAGTAATACGAGGAAAAGTGTTGGCCGCCACCAGAGCTTGCAAGCTCCCTCTGCTCGTCCTTCCTTTCCCTCGGCGTTCAAGCCCCGCGTAGCCCTCTCTAGGTCTGCGTCTCTCTCCTCTTTTTGCAACTTCAAAGAACGATACGGACGTTGACGAGCGGCCAACTGCACTTTGTACAGGTGAAGTTCGCCAACCGAGTTGCCAGCCAAAGCCCTACGCTTGCCGCTATAACTGTACTTACGTAAGCGCCGAGCTCGCTCGAGTTCTCCTTTTCCTTTCGCTTCGTTCCTTTTTCCACCATCTTTCGCGCTCGCTCGCTTCCTTCCTCGTGCTCGCTTTGCGGCTTTCGATCGCTATCGACAGCTGGCCGATCTGTCCCGCGACGCCGCGCCATTCCTTGCCTGCCTCTTTGGCTCTCGCGGCAACGAATTCGGCCATTGAAAAACCATTTGGATTTCGAGGCTAATCGACGAATACTTCGGTCGCGCGGCTTTGCCAATAGCGGAATTATCAAGCGGAGTGTTTCCTGCTCAAGATTGATTTCGATAACCAAGTTAAGCCGAACGTACGGCGCTGGCTGTGGCGCGCGCGAGCGTCGAGCTATGCGCAGCCGGTGGGGCTTCAGTTCTTAATAAATATGGTTTCCTTCCGGAGAGCAGTGACACATTGGCGCGCGCGCGCCCAACCCGACTCGACCCGACCTACACCGCCTGCGCTAGCGAGCTAGCGAACGACCCACGCCAAGCCTGTTTCCTCTGCGATTTAGCTGAATAAATGCCCCGAATTTCTTGCCTAGACCGGCAACGTAGGGTTTTATGCCTCGGCTCTTTCTCTCTCCGCTCGCCGAGGAAACTTCGCTCCGCAACAACTTGGGCTTTGGCCTTCCGACTTTCGGCGATTTTTCAAGGTTGCCTGATTTTTTCACCGATGGCTGGAAGTTGGCCTGCCACGTGATTCATACCCTTTCACCGTGTCGGTAATACGATGCAACGGATTACGCGTTGTCTTAGTCAACAGTCGCGAAAGATGCCATATTCGGCCAATCTTTTTCAAGAACAAATGCATTCGGCAATTCTAAAAGAAATCTACGGTGTAAACGCGTTGATCGAACTCGCCAGTAGTGCGTGACACGGTGAGTTATAGAGTTGCGAGCTATCGCCGAAAAGGCCATGCCAAATGCGCGCACGTTAAATCAAATCGTTTGGCCAGTTAATAAATTTGTCTAATTAAACGGTACAGTTAATAATGAGTCTGGGAAATAAGCGAGCGGAGATGAAAACAAAGAAAAGGCAAAAGCTCTCCCGAAAATTGCCGGTACTTTTTCACGGGCAAACGAGCCATTTCCGGCCAGAGGACGGGGAGGCAAACAAAGGCGAGGGACGCGCCTCTTACGCACCGCTCATTTAAACGCAGGTACTCTCTCTCTCTCTCTCTCTCTCTCAGCGCCCGAGCTATGCGACGCGGCAACGGCGCCGCAGCGCGCCGAGCGAAGTTTCGCGCTGCTTGGCGCGGCAGCCATTTATCAAAGAAGCAGCAGCGCGTCCGCCCCCGCGAAATTAGTAAGAGTGAAAAGTACAAAGACGCTCAGCCGCAAGGAAGCGGCAACGACAGCGCCGTCGACGACAATGAGGGGGCCGAAGCTCGCCTGCCCGCCTGATGAAATGCATAACGTGACAATCGTGGCGTGAAGAAACGAGAGTTTCTCGCCGGGGGGACACGCTTCCCCGACCTCAATTAGTTTTAGCCGCCTCTGCGCTCTTATTCGGCTACTTTTTGCAGATTGCCAGCGCGAATATCGTCCCTCAGCGCGTGCAGCGCGCCCACTAGTTTTTCCAAGCGCACACGTCACTGATCTCTTGAGCTTTTAAAACTTGGCCGGATCACTGTGATTACTCGTCCGTAGAATTGTCCGATTGCAGCGACAAAGGGTGCATCAATCGTAACAACGTGCAACCTCGAAATACAAGCGCGCGCACATGCGTGCGAGTGCGCATAGGTGGAGCGACATCACGCATCGACGAAATAAAAGGCAAGCAAGCAAGTAGAGTGAGTGCGCGTCCGTCAAAGGGGGAAACGCTTTGACGAGCGCCAGCAGCTCAGAGAGCGCGATTCATCCCTTTATTATGCCGGCATTAGTGACCCCATTCGCTCCTCGATTTAGCGCTTCCCCCTCACTCCTCTTCCCGCGCGCGCGCGCGCACACACACACACACGCCTCTCATTCACCTACTCCTGCGCGCATTATTTCCTTTCTAATTGCTTGCTAAGGAGGCCTTGCGAAAGCAAACGCTAAAACTTAATACCGTCGACTCGAGTGTTGGATTTACCGCTTCGCGCCTCTCCATTCAAACTGATTCTATGCATTATATGGTATATCAACCAGTCAGCATGTTGGCTATTTTTGTTGAATTAGAGTCCGTTGCTATTGACTGGAAGGGATACATCGACGAGGTAGAGGTACTTCGGCTCAGCTTGGCGTCACTCTGGCGCCTCCCCCTCTGCCTGTGACCCTCCTGCCCAGCAAGACACTACACGATTCCGTCATCATTCCCCCGTCATCTATGTTACGGCACATAACTCAAAATCGGCGAATAATCGATCGATGCTGAGCTGCAAGTATACGCCAGGAACCAAGTGGCATTGCAATTCTCGGTAGGATTATTTATTTAGAATGACGAGGCAGCAAGCAGTAGCGTAGCAACGAATGAAGGCTAGGACGAAAGGGATAAAACAGATGAGGATCCGAAAGGAAGAGGCGGAGGGAAGCAGCTCGAGTGAGTTGGAGCGCGGCGCACGGCGGGCAGAGGGGCAGGGGGAGGGCGGAACTGCTGGCGGGAGCGCGACACCTCGGCGCCAAACTCACCCTCCTGAGAGCTAGAGCGAGAGCGAGACTCTGCAGACTCACCTCCCATCCCTCTGTGTGCCAGAACCCGTTTCGCGCAGCCACCCCCTTTAGCCTCCCGTTCCATCTCGCGCAGCAACCCACCAGCCTCGGCTATCTGCGCCGCTGCCGCTGCCGCTCCCGTTCTCTCTGTACCTCCGCCTTTACCTAAAACCTCTCTCTTTCTCTCTCTCTCTCTCTCTCCCTCTCACTCTCGCGCGCTCTCTCCCTTCATCCAACTCGCCTCGGCTCGGCGGCGGCAGCTAGCATCCGACAACTTCTGCGTTGCGGAAGAGCCGGGGAATGGGGGTGGAGAGAGAGAGAGAGAGAGAGAGAGAGAGAGAGAGAGAGAGAGAGAGAGAGAGAGAGAGAGAGCTTGCGAATCTCCGAGCTATCTCCGAAATGATCCCCTACATTCTGGCGGCGTGGCAGCTATATCCTTGGGGCTCTCTCGCTCGCTCTGGCAGGCTACAACGAGGAAATAAGAGATTCCCAGCCGCGCGCCTTTCTCCCTACGAGTCGCGAGTTACGAATTGCCCCCGGGCAGCGCCAGCGCCAGCGCCAGCACAATGCCTCCGTTCCTTTCTCTCTCTCTCTCTCTCTTACCTCTGGCTGCCGCTGCCACTGACTTTTTTCTCCCGATCCTTCGCGTGCGCGCCAAGAGCCACGCCGCCGCCGCCAGTTTAGCGTCAATAACGCGGTCATTGTGAGCTAGCGCCTGCGAGAGCCGACTGACGGCGCTGTCGAGGGTGGCGAGTGCCAGGCGAGGGTGCGCTTTAATCGAGCAGCCGTTCACTCGGCCGTGCGTACGCAGATGTCTTCATTATTCGCGAGAGCTAAGCGCGATCTCCCTTTGCCGATGCTCGGCGCGCTGGTTCAAAGGGCTAGCTGCAGCACAGCCTGAGCCAGCCGCGCCTGGGACGAGGACGAGGACGGGGGCTCAACGGAGGCAGATTGAAACAGAAGCAAGTTTCGTATATCTTTGATTTTCGTATATTTATAATATATTTCGCAGCTGCTTAGAGTCTAGCGCAGTGTTTGTCACTTCTATCGTCGTATATTATAATCAATGGTACAGCACTGTGTTAACGATACATTATAGGTACTTCTCTGCTTATCTGTCAATTACGTAACATCATTTCTCTACGGCACAAAGTCATCACCCGCGTATAATAATTACAAGAGCTCTCGCGGCGACGAGGACTGCGCAATCCTCACTGCTCGGGCTTCTGCTCGGCTCCCTTTATGCTACAGTCGCTATTTACAAGCGAGTCGATGCTGAAGCTATAGCAGCGCCGAGGCACCGGCGGAGGGGGCGTTCCTCAGGAGTCGGTGGCCGCCGGGCTGGCCGCCACCGGCGGGCGCAGCCGCTCCGTCAGCGCCAGCATCACCTGGCAGTGCAGCTGCTGGATGGTCGCCAGCAGGTTCAGGTTCGTGTCGATCAGGCCGGCCGTCGGCGAGAAGGCGCTCTCCTCCACCTCGCTGCCCTCGAGCTTGCACGCCACGGCGGCGCCCTGCAGCCCGGCCTTGGCCAGGCTCGCCACGGGCGCGGCCGCCGCCGCCGTCGGCGCGCCCGGGCTCTGCGCGCGGCACGGCTCCTGCTGCCCGGTCGGCTCGCCGTGCGCGCTCGCGGCCGCCAGCGACCGGCTGTAGTCGACGGGCGCGCACTTGGACTCGCCTCTGCTGCCGGGCGACCAGGGCCGCGCGACCGAGGCTGCCGCGGGCGTGCACGCGGCCGCCCCCTCCTCGCCGTGGAGCTTCCTTATGTACGTCGAGGACTGACTGGCTCTGCTGTCCGCGCTCATCGCGGTGGTCGCCGTCATCGTGTACGCGTACACGTCCGACGCGGGGAAAGGCTGGTAGGCGGTCGTGATGATCGGCGGCGATCTCCTCTTCACCGGGTCTTTTCGCAGCAGGTTGCTAATGCTGAGCGGGTTGTACTTCTCGTCCCTCGCTTTCGCTCTGGGCAACTCGCTGGACGGGCCGCCGCCACCGCCGAGGCTGGCCGCGCCCGCGTCGCTCGGCGCCTTCACCTCGGGGCTGCCGCAGCCGCTGGCCTCGCCGCACCCGCGGGGGTCCGAGCCGGGCATCGTCGTCGTCGCGGCGGCCGTCGCGGTCGCGTCGCCGGCCGCGGCCGGTGTCGCCGGCTCCGTCGACGCGGTCTTGGGCAGCTCGGGCTTGTCGTCGCCCTCGGGCACGGCACTCGTGCCCTCCGTGCAGAGCGCGCCGGTCTCCGCGGGCTTCTCGCTGCAGCCGGCGTCCGCCGCCAGCGCCGCGTCCTTGGCCGAGCCGCCGGTCACGGCGGCCGCGGCGGGCTTCGGACTGGCCGGCTCGTCCTTCTTCTCGTCCGGCGTCGGCGAGGGCGAGGCCGTGGGCGACGGCGAGCCGGGCTTGGTCGCGGCGGCGCCGCCGCCGCTGCCGGCAGTGGGACTCGGCGTCCTTGGTCGTCTCTGGCATTCCGTGCAGCCGAGCAAGAAGCGGGTGACGGCCTCGCGAGGTAGGAAGGCGTAGGTCTCGGTGATCTGCAATCAGACGAGCGAGGAGCTCGCGTGAGCTTGGTGTGCCTCGGCGTGGAGCGGGCGCGCGCAGGCCTCGACCGAGAGTGCGGGCCCGGCCCGACTTTGGTTCGCTCTCCCCCGCGGGACTGGGCCCGGGACGCCGGCGCAAGCGAACTTTGCGAGGGGCTCCTTTGGCGAAGTTCGCGAGGCGCGGGGGATCGTTAACGCCCCGGCAGCGCGCCCTATCGATCAGCCGCCGGTCTCGCGGCAAGCCCGCCTTTTCCGTTTTTTCGGCTCTGCGCGCGGAAACTGAACAGCGAGCGTGTCATTTCAATGGTCGCGCCGTGCGTTTGCAATGCAGATTCTGATTTCCGACGAGAGGACGCCGTGGCGGCGAGCGGCCGAGCGAGGATCGCGCGCGCCGGGGCTGCAATCTCGGGGGATGCTCCGCTCGATGAATCGCGCCGCGAGAGCGGCCGAGCGAGCGGCGTGTAAGGCCGACTTAACGCAAAACAGTTTGAGGGCGAGCGCGCTTGCGTACACCTGCATGTGTGTCCGTACGCCTGTGCGAGGCGGTGTGAGTAGGCAGCCAGTGTGCAACAAGTGTCCTGAGGTTTTGAATCACAAGCAGATCGCGTCGAGCCAGCGTGAAAGAGGATGGGAGGAGGCGAAGAGAAAGAGACAGAGAGGCGGACTGACTGGGATAGAGCGCTCTCACGGGTAAATGGATAATCGAGCAAAATGAAAACACGCGCGATTGAGCTCCTCCAATGAATCGAGCGAGCCATTCGTCTCGGCGTTTCTGCGCCGCCTTTTCACGGGGAGCCACTCGGTCGTCGTCGTCGTCGTCGTCGTCGAATCGCAACGCGGATCGCGGATACAGCTGTCCGTTGCTGGTCTGCGCGTCTCTGTTTCGGCGCCAATTGAGCAAGCTGTGTACTTACGGTTCTGTAGGTGCGCTTTTGACCGGCGTGCTTCCCAGGGCGACCCTCCAAGTCTACGTGAACCGCGTGGATTATGTCGAAGAAGTTCTCCACTATGGCAACCTTTTTGTAGACTCTTCCTGGTGGTACCGTTCCTTCGGCTCCATTCAAAGCCTGCAACATCGAAATCGACGAACGATTTAAGTTATCGAAATCACAGTCAATGGTCTTGCATCTTAACGTTATTGAGGCATGCGACGTCTGTGTCAATTGAACAAGTGCGAGGGTTGCCCGTCGCAGCTGCCCTCTGTTAGGGGGTAGCCGTACTACAGACGCAAGGGCACGTACTGCGTAGGGGTAACTCGATGCAAATGTTACCAACGCCCTATCTAGCGCGGAGCCGGAGAACCTGTTTTATCGACTCTGGAAAAGCTTCAGTTGGTTCGGACTCAGGCCGCACGCGATAACCGCGCACTGTCGATAACGTCTTTGTCTACGTTGTCGCTTCGGCTGTCCTACGGATTTCACGTTTTGACGGTTCCTATCAAATTTTTTCTCGCCTTGTCAAGTCGATTAAGATCCCACGTCTTCCCACGTCTCCCTTCTTTAGTCGTTGGTACGATCGGAGTATCAATTGCTGCGTGTAGTTTAATGGAGAACCGACGATAGCGCGAGTGCACGGCGAAGAAGCGCGCCCGTCGTATAAAACGAAGAAAAGCGAGAGGTGAAAACACTGCAAGATAAAAATAAACGGAAGCGCGCGTCCGAGACGTCAATTTTTTGTCCTCGCTGGGAAATAGGGTGGAAAAGAAAGTAGCTGTAGAGAGTGGGGCTAATAAAGGCGAAACAGTGCGGGCTGATCAGCCAAGTGTCGCACGTTCCAGCACAAATTTGCTGGATCGGGGTGATCAGCGTTAGCTAACTTTAGGGCTCCAGTAAAATCCGTGCGGGCACGTGCATGTACAAACTATCTTTGTGTGGAAATAAATAGCGAAGGGGCGGGCGCATGCGCGACATTATTGTATTTCCCTATAAACACCTGTTGAAGGGCGAAGAGTCGGACTTGCGAGAGACGAAGAGAGAGAGAGAGAGAGAATGTGCGCGAGTGAACGGACGGATGGACGGGCGGACGGACGGACGGACGGACGGACGGACGGACGGACGGATGGACGGATGGACGGATGGACGGACGGACGGACGGACGGGCAGACGAGAGGAGGATGAGGAGCGAGCGAGCCGGTGCTTGCTCTTTGATTAGGGGATTGTGGTCAGGCGGGACAACGACGCCGATCCTCTATGCGCGAGCGCAGAGCGAGCGAGAGCATTGTTTTCATTAGCAGCCGCTCGAAAGCTCGCTCTCTCGCTAAATCCTCGACGGTGTCCCCGGTGAGCGATGTGCGCGCATCGATTTCTTCTCGCCGTTCTTTTTTTCTCCTCTTTTTGTCGTGCTCCTCGGCGCTCTGCGCTCTTGGTCGTTTTCTTTTCGGGCCGATCTCGTCGTTGCGTTTCGCTCGACAAATTGCAGCGTGGCCCGCAGAGAGGCGCATCGCGCTGATTATCCGGCGAAAGCGTCGCGTCGGCGGAGCAATCGTCGCGGCAGTAATTTATCGGACAGTCGGCAGTGGTGTGGCCGGGCGTTAAAAGCGCGGCGAGATTACATTTTTAATGACGGGCGGTCGGCGGCGGCCGCGGTGGCGGCGGCGGCGACGGCTGGCATCGTTTGCCAGTGACGCGGCCAAACTAATCAAGCGCAGTCGTGCCTGCATAGCGGAGCGAGAGAGCACCTAGCCAGCTGGCTTGCCGCGACGGCGGCCACGTCGACAGCCACGGCGATGGCGGAAAAAGAAGGAAAGGTCTCTTTTCGAATGCCTGACACAGTCGAAAAATCGATAATCGCGCCTTTGTCTCGGTGCGCACGAGTGCACACTGCAGGAAGCGGCGCGGTGTAGGAGGGATTAGCGCGAGACGAAAGGGGTACAGGCGGAAAAGAAGAAAGGGCGAGCTGCAGGCGTGTGTACCTATTTACGGCTTACACGCGGGCTTCCTCTCCTCCTCCTCCGCGAGGGAGCGGCGGCGGCGGTGGCGGCGGCGGCGGCGGCGGCGGCTGCACGCCGACGGCGATGCTTTGACGCGGACAAATCCGTGCGCGGAGCAGCCCGTAGTTCGGCGCGGCGCTCGTGATCCGACGGGCTGCTCGCGCCACGCGCAGTCCCCTTCCTAACGACGCTCTCCTTCGCTTACGCTTCGACGGGCATAATTAATGCGCTATAAATACGCGGCCGGTGCCGGTGCCGCCGCCGCTGCCACGGTATCGGTCTCGCGCTCACGCCTCGGCTGGCAGCTGCGCTCGCCGGGGAAAACAAGAAGAGCGAATCTTATCGCATAGGTAGATATCGATTATCCGATAAAGCCCGCTGCCGCGTCATTACTGGAGAGCGCGCCGATGGCCGCGACAAGGCGAGAAGAGGCGGCGGCTAGCCGTCGGGCGACGTCGAAAAGCGCGCACCGCGAGCAATGGGATTCGCGGCGCGTCGTTAAGAGATTATGGAGATTTCTAGCTCGTCCTAGTTGTCTTCCGGCGTGTAAAATCGGGTTGCTCCGCTCGCTCGCCGATAACATCTCCCCTACTCCCCCCACGCTGCTCGCCTCGACTGCGTCCATCTGTGCTGTTCCGTGCTGGGCACGCATGGATAATGTGTGTACACCGCGGCGGCGACGGTGGCGGCGACGACGGCGGCGGCGACGGCGGCGCCGAGATAAAATCGCGGCTTCGGCGGCGGCGGCAGCGGCGGCGGCAACGACGGCGGCGGATCGATCGGCTTTACACGCTGGCCGACGGCAATCGATGATCGGCCTGTTACACATCCGCGGCTTTTTTTGAGCGAGTGGTTAAGAGCCGCCGAGCCGGCTGTGCTCTCCGCTCTGACCCATTTTTATCGCGCTCGCGTGGCGTGCGTGCTTTTATCTCGCGCTGCCTGTGCCTGCGCCTGTGCCGCCGCTTTTTGCAGCGCTCGAGGATCGACTGAAATTCGACTGCGCGCGAGCGAGCCCGGGCGGCGGGCTGCTTTTTGCCCGAGCCATTTCTCAACGAGCCGCATAACAGGATGCTCTCTCTCTCTCTCTCTTTCGCCCGCTCGCTCGGCCGCCGCTCCGCTCTCGGAAGGTTCGCCGGCTAGCTCGCGGGGCTCTTTTTTGCTGGCCGAGACGCGTACGCGCCCGCGAGTCGGCAGGGCCGCAGCTCTATAGCTCAATCGATGGGGACGTCGGCGCGTTTGTCTCGCGGCGCGCCTCCATCTGCATGCGGCGGCGGGCAGGAGCCTGGCGGGACGCGAGGACGGAGCGGCGACCACCCAGCGGCTCATTTGGACAGAGCGCTGACCGCCGCCGCCGCCGCCGCCGCCGCCGCCGCCGCCGCCGCCGCCGCCGCCGCCGCCGCCGCCGCTACCGAGCGTGCGCGGGACGCTGCGCGCTCGCGAGTAAAACCCAGAGCACTCTCGCTCTTTTGAGCTCGCTCGTGTAACAAGCTTTCGGAACTCGCGGACGGAGAAAAAGATCAAAAGGAAAGACTCGGGAGAGCGCCGCGCAATTAAGCGCGCGCGCCGCTCGCTCGCATACGGGCCGGCCGCGCCGAGGTAAATACACGCCTCCGGCCAGCGGCCGCGCCGCCGCCGTTGAAAGGGCTGAGCCGCGGCGGCAGAGGGGGCGAGCGAGCCGATAGTCTATTATCGGCAACCGATAATGCGACGCCGCTTATCGTGATAGGCGGCGGAGCAGCGGCGTCGGTGGCGGCGAATTTATTCCGAAATTCCGTAGGTCTCCCCGACGCCGCCGCCGCCGCCGCCGCGAGCGGCCTGTTCCTTCCATTTTCGGCGCCCTCGCTATACGTATAGCGCGACGTCTGCTTTTCCGAAATCGATAGCGATGCATTCCTCCGTAATGACATTGTTAGACAGCATCCGGATTAGAAGGAGAGCGCTCAGCGAGCCTTTGGCTATGGTGGCGAGCATGTGAGAGCTGGCGGGGATCGAGCTTCGGAATCCGGCCTCCTAAGCCGAATAAATTATCTGCCGCTGCCGTTGCCGACGCCGCTGCTGCTGCTGATGCTGCTGCTGCTGCTGCTGCCGCCGCCGCCGCCGCCGCCGCCGCTGCCCTTGCCGTCGCCGCTGCTGGGCTGGGAATCGCTGCGGGCGACTGGCTGCGTTCTGCTCATTTTATTGCGATTCTCTCTTTGTGCGCGAGAACGCGCCGGGAATTTCAGACGACGGCAACGCTTTGCCATTCGCGCAGCGAGTCCTATCGCCGTGACAGATTATCCCCCGCCGTATTTTTTCCTCTCGAGCGCTCGACTTTAAAGCCAACTCGTTCTCATGCAGAAACGGGACCCCGCCACTGCCGCCGCCTGAGAGAGGCGAGAGCAAGTGGGACGAGAATCGCCCGCCGAGAAGAGAGAACTTTGGCATCTCGAAACTTTCTCGTCTGCTGCTGCTGCTGCTGCTGCTGCTGCTGCTGCTGCTGCTGCTGCTGCTGCCGCTGCCGCCGCCGTTGTTGCAAAGAAGTTGCTGCTGCTACCGCCGCCACTGCCGCCACCGCCGCCGTGGAACTGAAATCTTTCCGGTAAGGAAAAAAGTCCGCAGGCTGCCTGCCAGCCGAGCAACGAGATCGAGAGATAGCCGTCGCTGGTTCCCTGGCTTAATTAATTTGTTACCAAGTCGTTTGGCCCCGCGCGCGACGCCTTTATTACATTTTTTATCCAATGCTAATTTGAGCAGCGGCGACAAATAGCGCACGCGTGCGCGACGAAAGGAAAAGGTCGATTTTCCTTTGAAGGCCCGGCGGCGGCATAAGGACAGGCAGAAAAGGGCTTCCATTGTGCAGCCAAGAGCTCGCATTTCCTCGCGACCGCCGCGGCAAAGGAGGAAGAAGAAGAAGAAGTACGAAGGAGAGAAGCAGAGGCAGAAGAGGAAGCCAGAAGCGAGGGTGGCGATCCGCAGCTAGAGCACCGTCTGCTCTCGGATTTCTCTGTTTGCCTCAGTCACCCGGCCTTTCGACCTCTCTTTCGGAGCCCCCTCCTTTTCCAAGCTATCGCACGCGGCGCGCGCGTCGATATCGGGGACGAAAAACGACGAGGATCCCGCAGCTGCCAGTCACATTGGCCTTTGAAAAATCCTCGATCA